GATTTACAAATAGAAAAAAAAGTATCAAAATCACAGTTAAGTATGCTTTTTGTACCCCTAAGTAGGTTTTTAATACTCTGGGAAAATGTTTCCTTGTAATAGCAACTTAAGATAAAATTTTTCAAATATCTCCTTTCTGACAGACTTTCTTAAACTTTCATATAGAAAAATACTTTCAGAGTAGGATTTTAAGTCTTTCTAAAACCAGAGTTTATTTGTGATGAAGAATTGATGATCAAATATGAAAGGAAAGAAAACTACTATAGACATATATGTACATATATTGTGGTGGTGGTGGTATGCCGTGGAGTCAGTTCTAACTCATAGCAACCCTGCATAGGGTTTCTGAGGTTGTAAATCTTTAAAGGAGCAGAAAGCCTCATCTTTCTCCCACAGAATGACTGGTAGTTTCGAACTACTGACCTTGACCGACTCATAACCACTAAGCTACCAGAGCTCCTTATGTACATGTATAGTGAAATGCAAATTAAATGGAAAGCATAAGCATTGATATCCTAAGCACTGTTGTTGGTGTTAACTGCCATCGAGTTGGTTCCAACACATAGTGACCCTTTTTAGGGTTTCCAAGGACCGTCTGGTGAGCTTGAACCACTGGCCTTTCGGTTCAAAACAACTTTATAATCCAACACATTAACCCACAACACCGCAGCAGGACTCCAGTCGAGGCATTAGTGAGCTCAAATGGACTGGTATTGGCCATTTTGATTGTGACAGACTTGGTTTGCTATGTTGCGAATGGCAAATTGAAGAGGTATAGTGTCACATTCATAATCAAAAAGAATGTTTCAAGATCGATCTTGAAGCATAATGTTGTTTGTATTAGGATAATATCCATTCACCTACAAGGAAGACCAGTCAATACCTCTATTATTCAAATTTATGCACCAACCACTAATGATGAAATTGAAGAATTCTGCCAATTTGTTCAGTGTGAAATTCATCAAAAATACAATAAAAATGTATTGATAATTATTAATGATTGGAATGCAAAGTTTGAAAACAAAAAGGAATGACTGGTAATTAGGAAATATGGCCTCAATTATAGAAACAATAATAAAAGGCAAACTATGGACATAGACATCACCAGATGGAATACACAGTAATCAAGTGACTATATCTGTGGGACAAGACAGTGGAAAACATCCATATCATCAGACAAAACAAGGCCAAAAGCAGACAGTGAAACAGAGCCTTATTTGATCACATGCAAGTTCAGACTGAAGCCAAAGAAAATTAAATCAAGTACACCAGGGACAAAATATGACTGAATATATCCCACATAAATTTAGAGACCACCTCAGAACAGATTTGATGCATTAGACACTAACAACCAAAGACCAGAAGAGTTGTGGGATGACATTAAGA